AATAATAAACAAACAAAAAAAACCATTGAGAATTTACAGCATCACCACACACATTAAGAAATTGAGTTAAATTAAAAGAGACCCCCCTAAACCCTCAGGGGAAACCCTTGTTCGCACTGTATCCTTTGCCCTCCAACTACCACCCCAAAAATATCTGCCCTGGGTGCTTTGCCCTCCCCAGCTAAGCCTGAACAAGACAACGCAGAAGTTCAGCAGCTTTGGCCTCCTCCCACACGGGACAAAGAGGTTGTTCTCCATGCTCAGTCACACCACCTCCACCACCACATCACTGCAAGAACACTGCTCTGTGCAAACACAAATGGGGGCTTCCTGTGCAGCTGGAGAGTGAAAAAAACAAATATATTTAGGTACACAGCAGGACCCCTCAAGATACAACTTCCAGGTTGTACAGTTGTCCTGATATTCTTCTAACCAGGCAGGGGCAACCTCATTGGCTCTGTTCAGAGGTGGCTGAAGAAAGCAAGCCCTCATCAGACATAAAAACAGAGAGGAGGAGAGGTAATGACACAAGCTGGAATACAGGGAATTCAAACATGAAAGAATAAACACACTATGATCTTTACCATGAAGGTGATACAACACCAGAAGAGGGATCAGGGAGATTGTGAGATATCCATTCCTGGAGATATATCCAAAAGTATCACTGGACAAGGCCATCAACAACCTCCTCTGACACCACCTACCCTCAGCACCAGATTGCACTGAGAAGTTCCAGTAGCATGAGGGCATAACATACGACACAAGCATTTCACCAGGCAAACACTGGAAATTGGAAAAATTGAATTGTTTGTAGAGGACCTTTTCCTCCATGCAGCGCAATGAGAGAGCAGTCATGAAAAATTCATCAACTGGCAAAAATAGCAAAAATCACAAAGATATTTCTGGCTGTGTCTCCTTCATTCAATAAACAACAGCTTAGAAAAGACTTCTTATTCCCTATCATGATGAGGTTCAAACCAAGGAAAAGGAAGCAAAGAGATTGCAGAAACTTCATCAATAAGTGCTCAAGTGCTTAGACCCAGAACTACCTCCTCAAACAACATCTGGACTTAGAGAGCTCCTGAGATTCCTGAGAAATACATAATTTTACAAATCTTCCCAAAAGTAAAGCGAAATGATGTATTGACACAAAAACAAAGATGACAAAATATACCAAAAGTTAAAAAGCCACAACCAATACTGGCACATGACGTAATGAAAAGAGACTTGGGCAGGAAGGGAAATTCAGCAGAACACAGCAGGCATCAGAGCTTGCCTGGGAGAGAAAGGAAAAAAAACAAAAAACACATCAGCAGCAAAACTGCCCCACGTGTCACTACCCCAACACTTTCACATCCCCCACTGAACCACTACAGCCAACCTCCCCCCAACACACCACCCCCCTCCCCAAGCATGACCACCCCACCAACGCACTTCCCCAAGACCACCACAGCCACCATCCAAAACTGAAAACCACAGCCAGAAACTTACTGCAATCCAAAAGCGAGGAAGGGAAAACTTCCATCTTTGCAAGCATCACCCTTGCCTGCCACCACCTATGTCCCTGGGATGCCACCTTCCCCTGGGAGAGGCTCCAGCTGCTGCAAAGGCCATGGCTCCCAGCCCGCCACAGCCCTGCCACCACCAGCAGGGAAACTTATGGAGAAGATCATACTGGGTACTATTGAAAGACATTTAAAGAACAATGCAATCACCAGGCACAGTCAATGTGGGTTCACAAAGAGAAAGTCCTGTTTAACTAATTTGATATCTTTCTACAATAAGGTCACCCACCTAGCAAAAGAAGGGAAGGCAGTGGACAGTTTTTCTGGATTTTTAGGAAGGCTTTTGATACTGTCCCACACAGCATCCTTCTAGACAAGTTGTCCAACTGTGAGATGAGCAGGTCCATGTTGTACTGAGTGAAGAACTGGCTGAACAGCAGGGCTCAAAGGGTTGTAGTGAATGGGACTACATCTGGCTGGCAGCCAGTCACCAGCGGTGTTCCTCAGGGCTCAATTCTAGGGCCAGTTCTGTTCAATATTTTTATCAGTGATCTGGATGCAGGAGTTGAATGCACCATTAGCAAGTTTGCTGATGATACTAAACTGGGATGTGCTGTTGACTCTCACGAGGAAAGAGGCCTTGCAGAAGGATCTAAATGGACTGAAGTATTGGGCAATCATCAATGGCATAAAATTTAACAAGAACAAACGCCGGATTCTGCACCTAGGACAGAGTAACACTGGGCACAAGTATAGATTGGGAGAGTGTCATGGTTTAACCCCAGCCAGCAGCTAGAACCACGCAGCTACTCGCACAGTTCTCTCCCTTCCCCCAGAATGGCAGGGGGAAGAGGGAGAAAAGGATGGGAAAAAGGGAAAGAATAAAGCCTTGTGGGTTGAGATAAAGACAGTTTAATAGAAACAATAACAGAAAAGGAAAATAATAATAATGATACAAGTCACTCACCACCTGATCAGTGATCACAAGTACCTGCCCCCCAGCTAAACCCATTTATATACTGAGCACGTTGTCTATGGTATGGAATATTCTATTGGACATTCCATTGTTCTGTCTGTGCTCCTTCTCAGCTTCTATGGGAAGCTGAAAACAGTCCTTGAAAAACATAAACATCACCTGGCAACAACTAAACCAACATGCATTGTTGACATTGCTTTCATACCAAATCTGAAACACAGCAACCACTGGAAAGAAAATGGACTCTGTCCCAGCTGAAAGCAAGACAGAGGAGTGGCTGGAGAGCAGCCCTGCAGAAAGGAATCCGAGGGTGCTGGTTGACAACAGGCTCAATAGGAGTCAGTCGTGTGCCCTGGCAGCCAAGAGGGCAAACCGTATTCTGGGGTACATCAAACACAGTATAACCAGCCAGTCAAAAGAGGTAGTTATCCAGCTGTATTTAGCATTGGTGCAGCCTCACCTTGAGTACTGTGTGCATTTCTGGGCCCCACAATTTAAGAAGGATGTTAAGGTACTTGAATGCATCCAGAGGAGGGCAACAAGGCTGGTGAAAGGGCTGGAAGGCGTGTCCTATGAGGAGCGGCTGAGGACTCTGGGTTTGCCTACTTTGGAGAAAAGGAGACTAAGGGGTGACCTCATTGCTCTCTACAGCTTCCTGAGGAGGGGAAGCAGAGATGAAAGTGCTGATCTCTTCTCCCTGGTATCCAGTGAGAGGATGCGTGGGAATGGTTCAAAGCTATGCCGGGGAGGTTCAGACTTGACATTAGGAAGCATTTCTTTGCAGAGAGGGTGGACAGACATCAGAACAGGCTTCCTAGAGAGGTGGTCGATGCTCCATGCCTATCAGTGTTTAAGAGGCATTTGCCCTTAATAACATGCTTTAACTGTTTTGGTCAGCCTGTTGGAGTAGATGATCGTTGTAGGTCCCTTCCAACTGAAGTATTCTATTCTATTCTATTCTATTCTATTCTATTCTATTCTATTCTATTCTATTCTATTCATCATTTCACAACCCTTCCAAACATGAAAAGGAAAGACCAGATAATATGAAAATATGAATATGAAAACAAAGGTGACACACAAGTGAAAGGAAAACAGACCACAACCAACACCAGGGTATTACAGACAGAAAAGAGACATGGCCAGGAAAAGAAAATTCAGCTGCAGGAAAGAGGCACCTCAGCTTGCCCTGCAACAACAGGGAAACCCTAATACACCTCCCCAGCACAGCTGCTCCCAAAGGCTCTGCCCCAGCATTTTCGCATCCCCCACTGAACCACTACAGCCAACCTCCCCCAACACACCACCACCCTCCCCAAGCACCGCCACTTCCCCAAGACCACCACAGCCACCAGCCAAAATTGAAAACCACAGCTGGAAACTCCCTGCAATCAGAAAGTGAGGAAGGGAAAGCCAGTGCACCACATAAAGCAGCCCACCTGCACCACCACCAAGCCTGACCAGGCTCCTGCCCAGCACCACCCACAGACCCACCATGGCTGTGCCTGCAATCCCACAGCAACTTCTGCGGCACAGCACCCCAACACTCCTGCTCCTCCTGCCAGCTCTCATCACCGCCTTTGCCTGCCACCACCTGCATCTCCACACCACCACCTTCCCCTGGGACAGCCTACAGCTCCTCCAGGCCATGGCTCTGAGCCCGACACAGCCCTGCCACCACCAGCACATGCCCTTGCCCTTCCTTGACACCCTCCTCCACACCAACCACCCACAGCAAGCCACTGCCACTGCCCTACCTCTGCATCATCCAGCACTTCTTCACCACCCTCAGCAGCCCAAGCACGCCCCACCACTGGGAAGCCCAGGCATGGCACCACCTCCTCAAACAGCTCCAGCACAACATACAGCAGATCAAGCAATGTGTGCCAGCCAATGGCATGCTCTTTGAAGGCCAAGGGCCCTGCAACCTGCTGCTCAGCATCAACAAATACTTTGGGTGCATCCAGGACTTCCATGGCACCCACCATCACAGCCCTTGCGCCTGGGACCACATCTGCCTCAAAGCTCACATCTGCTTCCAATGCCTCCACAACCTCACCCGCACCATGCACAATTAGCCCAATGACCCTGACCAACCCACATAGTCCCACCCACACCACCACCACTTCTGGACCACTGCCCCATCCCCACCTCTGTCCTCCCACCTCCCCTGACCGATGGCAAGAGCCACTGCAAGAACAGCCATGGACCCTGAGCCTCCATTGACTACTTGTTTGTTTATATAACATATTCTATTTACTTTGAAAATGGTTTTTATCTATTCATTCACCTATTTATTCAACAAAAAATAAAGACCTGTTGCAAAAAGCTTGCCAGTGCCTCTTGTCTCAGAAGCACAGGAATGAGCCTTTGGGGTGGGAGAAAACAACCTCCACTCAACACCTACTCCAAGCTCTGCTCCAAACAGGGCTCTGCAGATCCTATGCCTATTCTTCTCTTCGGCACCTCCCCAAGGATGCACTTTCCCCAACCTCTGAAAAACCTCTGCCAGGGTTTAGCCATCGTCATCAGAATCATCTCTTTAGTCCTTATCTCCTCAACATTTTCCACGTTCCATCCTGGTTTAGACCAGCTGATGAAGGAGAGGCACGGCAGAGATCACTTTGATTAGGCTGAGTTCGGCTACTCTTGCCACTTCAGGCATTTTTTCCACAACTCTCTTGTTGCGCTGCTTGAAAACTCCTTACAGCACAAACTATTCCAGGGCAACACAGACAAGGTATGAATCCTTACATTTTCTCTTGTTCAGCCTTACTCTTGGACTAAATGGTCAGGTTAATTGTTTTTTTTTTTCCCCCATGTGCTTTACTGTATTTATTTTAGATCAAGCATTGCCCATTCATTTTTTTCTATCCATTTGCTGTCACTACATGTAAATAATATCAGTAATTCTCAGCTCCTGGCCCCTCAGAACCAAACCTCCCCACCAAGAGGCATGCTGCTCCAGCCCCTGCATAGCCCTGTGGTATAGCTACATAGAAAAAGCGCTGCTGCCCAGAGAGCAACAAAAAATTGGGTGAGCAGATGGGAAGCGCAGGCTGATAAAAGTTGAACAGCACTCCTAGAAAAGATTTTGACTCCTACCAATATAACCATGCCTCTACTGGCCCAAGAACTGCAAATATTTTGTCATTTTGGTGCTCTGAAAATAATCCCATTCATTTCAGTTGACAATTCTTCTGAGGATCATGCCTTCATTAATGTGCTCAACTTTTTTTTTTTTTTTTAAATTCAGGATATGCAGCTGGACAGGGTTTTGTCTGGGACATCCTTGTACTCACCTTTGACTATCTGACTCTGGCTGTCTCCAAACTCCACATGGAAGACCTGGTACTAACTTGGACCTTTAACTATGGCATTCATCCAGTGATACTTCTTTTCCAGATCACTGCTCATTGCTCCATTTCTGCCTCTACGGATACATTGCATCACTTAATCCTGTGACTTTTCTCAGTTACATACTACCAAACTTTCTCTCCAAGTTCTTATCCTAGTTTTCTGAAAATAAAATTCCTCAAACCAGGACAACCTTTCCGCAACCTAGGCTGAGGCTCTTTCTGAATCTAACTCTCAGCTTCTCTCACATGCCATTTACGTTCTGGATCCAGATAAGGAAGAAAGCTTCGTATACTCTCCCTACTGCAGCTCACGTGCATTTGTTACCATGATGCATATGCAAAGATCTCCACCTATGAGCACCTCCAAAATCTGTCAGATGCACCTACTGGCTGCCAATTTGTGCACTCGGTGTTCAACCCTACCTCTTGGTAAAAGAAAACATTCACACTCAGATTTCAACTAGATTTGACAAGATGTCATACTGTTGCTACAACAATTAATTTCTCCACTCAAAAGCACAGCACACTTGCTTCTATTTACAGAATTTGCAGATGGATGAATGCATGATGCAACGGTTGCTCTATATCAATTTACACCACCTAGAGAAACTGTTTGTGGATATCTAAAAAAACACAATATAGAACATAAGGATAAGCTCTTAATCACCATCAAATGAACTAAATTGTGTTGCACAAATGATCAACACTGAAGAGAACTTATTTAAAATTAAATAAACCAAGCCATTTACTTACCATTGGCAGCCTGGATTGAAGCATCTGGAGATCATCATAACCATAAATCTGCTTAAAGACAGATAAGAATAAAACATCATTATAACACTTTTCTCTGATGCTGACCAATTTGGGGCTTTAAACAGAGTTTGACCTAGGCCCAGTCTATTTTAAAGGTGTACAGCTATACGTCGCATTGTGCCATCGTGGTGCACTGTAGCATTTTAAGGCTAGTAGAGCTAAGATTAAAATGGCTTGTCACTGATGTTGTTTCTTGGTGACAGCAGTCCTCTGAGGAGAGTATGACTGTCCCATCTTCAATACTGTTTTCACAGATGCATCATTCATCAACTTGTGAAAAATCTATAGGCCATTCAGATTTGGGAGTAAGAGCAGCTGCCGCCTTTCCTTCAATCATTACTTCTGAGAATAGCAGGATTTAAGATTTAATGACTATGCCACAAAGCAACCTATGGTATCCCCTCTCATTCAGTGTGATACAGAAAAATGATTAGAATAAAGTTTCTGATTCAAGAAAAGATAACCAAAAATATGTTGATCCTGGTCAGACATCAAAAAGCTATGTGCAATCCTTTCAAAGTGTGATAGACAGGACACATGGCACATTTCAACCATTATTATAATAAATCTATTCCAGTAACACAAACTAATATTACTCAAAGGGCCTAAAACCTGATACCACTGAAAACCATAGCAACATGCACATTTAGCTTCAACAGAAGCCAAATCAGGTCTGTACCAACAGTTCTGCAGTTTACTATCAACAGTAAACCCTCACCGAATACGTTTCAGATATTCTTCAGCATTTGTAACAAGAATTCCAGGTGCAACATGTACCAACAGAAATGTCTTGGCATAGACAGCAGCAGGTCCTGAGGGCCCACTTGCACCAAGGGTTAAGCAATCAAGGACAGGAACGATTAAATTGCTTACTGGGTAGGCAGGCAGAAGTCCTCCAGGTCCCACAATATACTGGTTATGCAACAATGGCGGTACACCTTGGGGCAGGTTTGGGGGAGCTTTGCCTATAGAATCAAAATACAGACACTTTAACAAGCCTTTAGAAAAGAAAAGGCTTCAGCATTGAGACAACACAGCTAACAAGCCCTGGCGGCTCCACTGTCATAGCCTGTAAGGAGGAAAACTACGCAAAATAATTTTGTGCTGGTTGATGAAAATGCTCAAAATAGCCTGAAGAGTTTAACCATGCCTCAAGGAAGGGGAAGCACAGGCTACTTAAGACTGAAAACAGTCCCATCAGAGAACAGTCTGATTTTGTCATTTACTTTGTCCAAAATGATTACAAGAATTACAGGAACTTCTCCTTTCCTCAGTCCTCTCCTAAAGGCAAAATTCAGGCATTGTTCTCATTCATTTTCTGCTCTGTCAACACATTCTTCCTTATCACCAGAATATACTGGAAAACACAAAATGTTGCCAGTGTACTTTTTGTGGGTGACTTAGTGCAGCTGAGAATAGCAAAGAGAAGATGACTGAAAGAGTTTCAGTTGCCTCCGTGAAGCAGTGCTAGGAAGCAGAAGAGTAAAAAAAAAAAAAAAATGCACTTTGGCCAGTCATTAGACACTTAATTTACAAGGTACTGGAATGAGAAATGAGAAATTCTTCTATAAGTAAGTTTGATCTTAATATTTAAATCTTTCACTTCCCTCCACAGGATTTCCTTTTAGCAGTTCAGGTTGATTAGAGAAGCAAGAGAGAATTTAGCATTGCTTCCACTTCAGTGCAAGAAGCCTCCCCACCTTTTCTCTTTGTGGACCCTTTTCCTGAATGCTATTTGCTATGGAATGACCCAGACATCAGGCACTCTTTTCCTTTCTGTAGATGTGGCAGTAGGGATGTAGCATATGATAATGAGGACACTGAAGTATATTTTGATACTGCCAAATGAATTCAAGTCACAGAGAAGACTGAAATTAAAGCTAAGGTGAACTCACAGCCAAGAGCTGATCACAACCTGGAATGCAAACTGGGCGAATCTCCTAGCCCAAAACTTCCAAAGTCAGAACTGCTCTGGTGTCTATTTATAAAGCTCTTTGGGGATGGAATATACTATATAAATGCCACATAACACCCTAACAAATATTTAAAATACACAAGACCAGGCAGCTTTACTTTATAAGCCAGCAAATAAAGCATGCTGAAAACGCTAGTCAAGACTGTGGATTTCTTAGCACAGTTATTGCTGGTGAGATGCTCAACTGACAGCCCTGCTGAAGTCCTCTGTCCATCCACGTGATTTGTTAATATTGCAAACCTGAAGACACTAGGGGAGCTGCCCGTGTGGTAGCAGCTGGTATAGACACACTGGTAACGCTCAGTCCAAGGCTGTTTGTAGTGTTCATACTGCTTGCCATGCTGACAACTGAAGAGGTGGTGCTAGTGGCTGAGGTTGAAAAAGTTGAAAAGGTTGTTGAGGGCTGGAGCGAAGTTGTGTTCTCAACACTAGTGTGCTAGAAAGGAGACAAAAAGAACGAGGATCACAGAGCAAATAAACCACAGTGGAAGATGCTGGGGGAAAAAAAAAAAAAACAACACCAACAATCTTCTAAGTAACAGCAGCACATGCAAAAGAAAAATATATGCATTATCTATGTACCAAGCAAGCAAGTAATTACATGGTTGCAATTTTTAAGTATTCAAAGAAAATTATTACGAGAGTTAAATTCAAACTGCCATATCATCAAAAAATTATACCACAGTAACTCAAATGTCACTCCATTGCATTATTTCTTGCCCTTTGCTTATATACTCCTTTAAGCTAGTACTTGTTATGTTAAATAAACTCCTATATTCTTCCAAAAGACAGTACTTGTTTTCAAAATACAGGACACTTATCATGATTTCTTCAATGCACTTGTGGAATTTAAAAGATGAAAACTGTAGTGCCCCACAACAGAGTCAATGTGGTAAACTGAAATGCAGACCAGATGTGTTACAGGAAAACATGAGGATAAAGGAGTTCCTGGTTTGAATCCAGCACAATACAGTAAGCTGATCACACTTGCGAAACAGTGTCATCAACACACAGAAGCCAAAACAACTCTGACAACAGAAAAGAAGGACATTTGGATACGCGTGAATTTTTAAGTTACATATTCAGTAGGGATGAGGCATTAAAAATCAAAATACAGGCATGAAGAAAAGCAGTAACCTATCTGCACACCCCAGCTGGGATTGTACAGAGGTACCCCATAACAGAACAAGGCTGACTTTTGTCTGTGCAACCTCATCTAGAGCACTCTGTTCAATACCATTTGCCTTATCATCTCAAATGCATTAAATATACAGGTGACAACAATGTCACATGGTAAATTCTTAAATCATCTGTCATGACATGTATCATTCCATCACCTGCATTTTGCCAGCTAACCTCTCCAGTGGAGACTGCTAACAGTCCACATTTTGGAGAAGTTTCAGCCAGGTACTTCTAATGATTTTTGAATTTATTTTTTTTTTTAGTTTTAATACATTTGTTACAATAATTTTTTTCTTTATTCCATCCCCCCACTTGCTGGCACAAAAATTTCCTCTACAGTTGTGTGACTGGGAAGTCTGTAACAGCTATTCTTGATCTAATACAAATCACAAGTGGTAACGACTTTTTTTTTTTTTTTTTACAACTAGAGGGCTGGCAGCCCTTCTTCCCTGAGATAAAGCTCTTGTTTCAGTTCTTAGTGTACTGGGACACGATGAACTTTAAGAGAGGGTCTTAATCATCAGATAAACTGATTATATGCCAAACATCTGTTGAAATGCAAATAGGACTTACTGCATGTGATGTGCTTGAAGACAACACTGAGGCAGGGGAGAGGCTGCTCTGATGACTGGAAAATGAGCTAGAAAGAAATTGCAAAGAATTAATAAAATTAATTTTTCCTAGAACATTTAAAAAAAAATACATGTATATATACACATATACATACAAACAGAGTAGGTAGCAGGATATTATTTAAATAATAAAAATCGTAGGTATACATACACACACAGTAGAATATTAAAGAAAAAAGTAAATAAAAATATTAAAGAAAAAAATTTCCTTTAATATCCTACTACCATTTAATGAAAAAAATTGAAGTACAGAGACAACAATTACTAAGAAGAAACATCTAAAACACCATTCATTTGTATTTATCAATTTACTATATTTTTAGTAAAACAATAGCTGCTTCAGGAATTATGTAGCAATGACTCCAAGACATGTAAAGTCCAAAACCAGAAGGTTTACACAACACATGGCTTGTTTCTCATTCTTTTCCTGAGCAACTGCTGCCGCCTGCCACAGGGCACAGGTATTAATTAGTTGAGGCAGTGCTTTGGTTTGACTCAGTGTTAGGTTGACGGTTGGACTTGATGATCTTAAAGGTCCCTTCCAACCTAGAGGATTCTATGATTCTATGACTCACTATGGTATTTCTCATATAATCTGCATAACATTAATCAAACCAATTAGAACTGCAGGGTATTTACCCCATAACTGTGCCAAAAGCCCCAACACACTCTCAAAAGACAGGGCGCAAAAAACCCAACCCCAGCAAATGAAGAGCATCTGTGAAAGCCCAAAAATTAGACATACTACTACAGAATCTGCCAATTTAATCAAAGCTGGTTCATACCACTACACCCCACCAAAAGTAATTTTCTCTTTGAAAAGATGAATCAGAACTGACAGTTCAGTTTTATACACATACACTGGAAAATATGAAAATAAAGAATCCCCTGATAAAAACCATCTGCAGATAATTTTGTTTTAGGAATCAACTCTGCTTTAGCATTATCTTTTTTCCCTAGCTGACCAGGCCTGTGAACTTTTGGCAGTAACAGTAGCATCAACATTCATCACAGAATCATAGAATGGTTTACGTTGGAAAGGACCTTGAAGATCATCGAGTTCCAACCCCCCTGCCATAGACAGGGACACCTCCCACTAGACCAGGTTGCCCAAGGCCACGTCCAGCCTGGCCTTGAACACCTCCAGGGATGGGGCCTCAGCAACCTCTCTGAGCAACCTATTCCAGTGCCTCACCACCCTTAAAGTGAAAAATTTCTTCCTAATGTTCAATCTAAACCTGCCCTCTTCCAGTTTATAGCCATTCCCCCTCGTCCTGTCACTACATGCCCTAGTAAAAAGTCCTTCCCCAGCTCTCCTGAAGGCCCCCTTTAGGTACTGGAAGGACGCAATAAGATCTCCCCTAAGCCTTCTCTTCTCCAGGCTGAACAGCCCCAACTCTTTCAGCCTCTCCTCATAGGAGAGGTGCTCTAGCCCTCGGATTCATCTGTAATCCAAAGATCTTTGAATGTCTCCCTGCAAGGTGACTGAAACTTGTTCTTAAATATTACACTGACAAAAATTATACCTTAGGTTCAAGGTAATAATAATAAATAAACAAAATGAACACTGAACAAAGGCAAACAAAACAAAGCCCTAAAATATATGTATGGTTTGGTGCTCAAAAAGCCCTTCATGTGAAGTCAGAAGCAAGAGAGATCCTAACCATAAAAAAAATATTTTAGTGTTCTCTATAGAAATAGCCACAAGAAAATACAGCAGTTTTCATAACAAAGCTGCAGGCTAAATTATATGCCCTAATTTAAGGGCAAACACTTCTGGTAGCTCTTCAAGGTGTGGGACCAGAATAAATCATGGCAGTTTCATAGATTAATTTTACTTCGACTCTTTAAAACCATTCCCTGTCTGCAGGAATTACAATGACACCACTTCAGTCAGCAAAGAAATGGTTCAGTCCAACATATGGTTTTAAACCACTCCCTTGCCCACTCTCCCCAGCTCTTCTAATAAGCCTTAATTGACCACATGACAACCAGTGCAAGCTGGCACGATTGCAGCAAGAGCCCCTTGAAACACAAAGCTGTTTATATACCATGAAAACTTGAGGACAGCAGCTGCTCTATCATTAAGAGGCAGCCCAGAGCTCATACTTTGCAACCAGAAACATCCTGGTACCTTCTGAATCTCTCTCCTAATTCTAGTTAATGTAAGAAAACTGGACCCTGGTGTCTGACAGCCCCATATGCAATCACACTCATGTTTGCCTTTTCCCCAAAATTGAACCCCTTTCAGTTTATCACAACTCCTACTGTACCTGCTTAACTGGGGAAGTGAGCTGCTGACCAAATCACTGGACTCAGGCAAGCTGGGCAATGTTGCCACGTGCTGCGATGCTGAAGGCAGAAGCGAAGCAGTGGTGGATATCACACTAGGCAGAGAACCAGCAGAAGGCAGTGAAGGAGAAGGCTCTGTCTTAGGTGCTGGAACTGATGAAGTAGCTGCAATGAGTTAGAGAGGCATTCAGAGACAAATTCCAGCATACCTGACATCCCAGCCTGGATCCAGGAACACAACAGTATTCTCCCCTTGGTTTACAAAAACCTGACCATTAAGAACCAGTAACAGTATCAAGCAATCTGTCTATGAATGAAAATTCAAACAGCAACAGAACTATATTTTTTTCCCTTTAAGCTCTTCACCTACAATAGATTTATAATTTGCACTGCTACATGCATAGTAAACTACAGTCTTCTGCACTTACCCTCCCACTATCTGGATTACTAACTTTTGCTCGCAAGTCAATCCTCATTCTAAAATTCCTTGTATTTGGTTCTGCAAAAAAGTAATTTGCACTTTTCAAGGCACTGTACAAATCTGCTTTTACCTACAGCTCTGCTTATTCATTCCAACCTACACGGCACCTTTGATGTTTGAGACTTGGATCGCTGGAGTACAAGGACACATATAATTTATCAGTTTGGAGAACTGAGTCAAATGTGTAATACAGTAGAATAAAAGAAGCTACAATAAAAGGCCACAATTGAGCACAGCATTAAGCACTTTTAATGGCTAAAGAGTTGTCAAATATTGTCTTACTTTATTTGACCTAGATAACAAAAAGCATTTAGCATTAATATTACTTTTAAGGCTATACAGAGTAGAACGTGTTTACCACAGATGCACCTTTCCAAAGGATCACTATACTGTAATAAGACACTGAACAACTCTACCGCCTGACATAACACCCAGCTGTTTCTACACTTATCTCTTGTCCTCCAAAGATAATACACAGAATTAGAGGCACTCACCCACCGATAAAACTCGGAGTTGAGCCCTGCCTTCTGCTGGGCCATGCTTCTATACCACACCAGTGACCACTACCCAGCAGATCATCACTAACTTGCAATGCACGTGAAGACGTGATCAGAATGATCACCAAACAAAAGTCAGATATATGCTTGGAAGTTACGCATGACAGTTTGTTCACATTATTGGTTTGGTTTCCTCGTTAAATGACCCAAGTCAGGTTGCTGGATTAGGTGCTATGCCAACAGAAATCAAGAGGTCTTGGCCTTGGCAATAAGTATGAGGGTAACTGACAGAGAAGGCAATTCAAATGACAAACAGAAACATAGCTATGAAGAAGGCAACTATATCACACCTGAAAACTCCTGACAAGAAACATAAAAATAAGTAACATTTACAACTCAATACATTTAGAGCAGGGTTCCCTTCTTGAAGTAAAAGTAGATGTCCTCAATACAAGGGACAGAAGCACCATCTTCATTAAGACACCTTACAAAATGCCTGAACACAGTGTGCAAGACAAAACCAGGAGACAAGTAGGATGGTCATAATTATAACACACCAACCATACTTTGAACTAATGGTTTAGGAAGCACGAGATCTGGATATTAAAGGACAACAGCAGCAAAGATAAGAGATGAATAACTACGAATATTATCAGCACATACAGAAGGGAAAAAGTCAGTACTTTCAAATGTTAAGAAGAATTTCAAAATAGTTTGGATGCATGAAATAGATACATGGAAGACAACCGATTCCAGTTCATGTGCTTAGGATACAGAAAACAACAAGTGTTCCCAAAAGAGAACTGGCATAGAAAGAGAAACTAATAAAGCTGTTATAGATTAATTACAAAAATATTAGGAGTTTTCAGATCTTTGTTTTCCATAGCAAAAAGACAAGTCCTGTAGTGAATTTCATAAATTGTTTATTAATTCTGTACATGAAAGCAAGAAAGTTTTCCATGTGAAAAGTTGGGTTTATATATAACAATCTTTTAAGTGGTAACTCTTTGGGCATACACACTCCTGCTCACTTAGTAATGGTTTTAAACTGAGATAATAGTTTTAAACTGACATAACAGTTTTAAACTGAGAGAGGGTAGATTTAGATTTGATATTAGGAAGAAAAATTCTTTCCTCTGAGGGTGGTGAGACACTGGAACAGGCTGCCCAGAGAAGTCGTGGATGTCCCATCCCTGGAGGCGTTCAAGGCCAGGTTGGATGGGCTTTGAGCAACCTGGTCTAGTGGGAGGTGCCCTTGCCCAGGGCAGGGGGGTTGGAACTAGATGATCTTTAAGGTCCCTTCCAACTCTAACCACTCTATGCTTTAAATTGAACTTGGCACTAACAAAACACTGTTTACAGGTCTCAATACTCAACTTCTTTCTACTCAAAAGTGTAAAAAAAAAAAAAAAAAAAAAAGGCTGCCCCACTAATGACCTATCTGAAGAGATGTTTAAAAGGAGGATAGACCTAAAATTGAAATGTTGGAATTCCAGAAGATGTTAATTCACACTGCTGCCCTTGAAAACTTCCACAGAGCAGCACATAAAAGTCAGAAGAGTGAATACTATAATTATTTTAACTCCAGGAAGAGAGTTGTAGGGGTGCTACACATAAAATACCACATAAGAAACAGGCCAAGATGAAGATAACAGAAATGCCTGTATCAGAGCCAGTACTGTGTTAATGTTACTCCACTGCAAGGCAGCAAGCTACCCAGCAGATGGAGCATGCTCGTCACCCTTATTCCCCACAGGCTTGTAACAGGACATAAATAGCACTATACCCAGTGAGAGGTGCATTCAAAGAATGTGACTGTTTCATTACAGCTAAATGCTACTTACTGCTTCCCAACTGAGAAGTGGAAGAATTGTTAAGAAATTTGATGTTAATTCTTAATTTTATATTTTAATTTTATATTATTTTTCGGCAGACAAATTCAAAAGAAAAAGAAGCTTCTCTAATTCCAAGACCGCTTAGGTTTGTAGATTTAATAGGGCTGCTTTCATACTTCAGTTTTAGTCAAGAAGCAAGCAGTATATATCCTATGCAAGTACAAAATAAACTCAAACGGGTCAGCCAAAAATTAGCCAGTGAGAACAATAGAAAACCTTTAACCAGATGTCACTGCTACAGTCGTGCACACAGCAAATAGTAAGGAAAAATCAGGAAGTCCTGTGCAGAACCAAGCTTCGTAAACTTACTGTCAAGAGTTGCCTGTATCCTAATACCACTGTGCCCATTCTGTAAATAAAGGAGAAATGAATGAATAAATTTTAGAGGTATGTTAAATTTTCAGACTGAATCACAAATTGAACATGCTCCATGCAAAATATTATATTCATTCTAAATTGAAAGACCAAAAAGGCAGAAAATTAACATTTTACTGGCTTTAACAAAGCCACATAATAGAGTCTCAAGTGTAAGGTGTCCTGAACATACAGAATCCCATACACTACCCATATTATACCCATCAGCAGGAGACCTTCTCATGTATTGTATATAACAAACTACAGGTTTACACCAATATGAAAGAAAGAATTGCATTATCATATAGGAAATAGTTGTGCTTTTGATCTAATGCAACTCACAATTTTAACTATCCAAGTTACACAGAGACGCCAATTTTTTTCCATTGAAAGATAAGACTTGAGGAGCACCAGTTGTTTTTTGGATAATGGAGTACAGAAATGGATTGTTTACACTTGATCCTCACCAGTACACACGAGCTAGTGCAGAACACAAGTGTGACTGAGCCATTATATAACAAAGGCCAGAAGTAAAACTTACAAACTCTCACAAGTTCCTTAAACATTTAATAAATTAAGTTCTCTTAAAACAAACCCACATTTCATATACAAAGAGAGTAGATGCTTTTGAATATCTCCTGAGAGAGATCCTCTCTGTCCTAGATTAGACCTCTCCCTATACTTTTTAAAATAAACAAATGAAACTAATTCCCATCGCTGTTTAAATCCAACAAGAGAGTAATGCTGGAGGGGCCACAAACAGTTTGGGATCCATTCGCTAGGTGCCGTATAAATTTAACAAATTATATACCTTTGGATAGAAATTGTCAAGTTACAGCAAAAAACCATGACTAATACTTACACACAGATAGTTCCTTTTTTAAAAGCTAAGCTTCAGGGAAGAAAGCTCAACTAGAATGTTAAGTGTTACTAAGAAAAAAGGTCAAACAGCAATTTAAGATGTCAAAACCCATAAAATCAGAGGTTCTTATATCCCAAATACAAAAAATGGCTACACAATAGGAAAAGAAAAAACAAATAAGAGAGCGAGTGGACTTGGGAATCAAAAATACCACTTGGCTTGGTTAAAATATTAATATAGCAGGGTAATACAAGTCTAACAGGAATAAGAATATTTCACCTTTTTCAAGGTCTTATTTCTGGAATTCACTCACCGTAACTGCCACAGGGGTTGATTCAGACAGAGCCATGGAGCTTTGGTACACTATCCTACTATGCACAGAATTCTGGTCATAGGAGGAAGTTGTTGTTACTGGGCTAGTGCTCTGGGATGAGCAGGTCAGACTGGAAGAAGTGATGGCAGAGGTTGTGTAGGTGGACTCCTGTACTGTATTGGATATTGGCAAAGAGGTATTCAAAGGATCACTGGAAAAAGTAAAAATTATTTATCTTTGTAAATTATATCTCAAACACCTTCATGAAAATATCAGCTCCTATACAGTTATCTAGAACTACCTTAAACATGTAGTCAAATCTACATTATTTATACTAGAAAATCTAATCATGAAAAAAAATATATTATTTTGCTTTGGTCCCCAGTAATCACTGCTTCAAAACCATCAGTTGCACTAAGCACCATTCACTTTCCTCCTGCCAGCCCAACCAAAACAAGAGTTTACACACAAGCACTTTTCAGTCATGTTATTTCCACCTTCTCAAAGGATAAATTAACAATCAATCTTGTTTTACACAACTAGATCCATAAAGCCTGGTATATGAGAAACACCTATTCTCTTTTTACAGTAGAATTCAGCAGTCTAACAGAATGAACTATGCAAAGAGGAAAAAATACTTTAAAAAATAGAGTGCTTTACTTTCTAAACAGCTTAAATCATTTATAGAACTAGAAACGAATGTGAAGGTTCATTTTTACTAGTATTTCCGAATTAACTTCAGGAAGCTTTTTACTGAAGCCAATTTTTGAATGAATAAGAAAGAAAAAAATGGGTTACTGGTACATTGGCATTTATCATTGGCTATTTTAGCATTTCAGTAAGAGCTTCTGCATACTGAAAGTCTGGCTTCTTTTCTCATCCCATAGGAGCAACAGATCTGTAATTTGGTGCCAATTTACTGACACACACATATGCTACAAGGGTCATATCTCCTGGATCAAAAGCAGAAAAATTCGGGTTGTGACAAACAAACCCTCAAACAAATTTGAAAACCGGGACAATTAAACGCGAGAAAGCAATTCTGTAAAGTGTAGTTATTATAAGGTTATTTATATTCATGTTATCTCCAGCTTCACATCAACCCATCCAGAGAGATTTTGATTGTCATTAGAAAATAAATTTCTTCTTTAAAATGCCATCCACAGAAAACACTTAGCCTTACAAGTCATCATATTTCCCCCTCTCATTACATGGTAACTGTGCCTTGAAGATTTTGGCACAAACTTGACCCCTTAAAAAAGACACGTAAGAATGCACAAGGGGAACTCACACGTACTTTACAGATTTTGAGTACAAGCTATTGTTGGTCGCCTGGCTGGTATTCTCACTGCTTGAAGCTGATCCAAACTCTGGGAGTACAGGCTCTGATCCAAATTCCAGAGCTCCAAACTGAACATTTAACCCTGTCACATCCGCTGATCCAGGCATCTCCACTGCAGAGGCAGGAATCTTAAAGGAGGAAAAAGCAGCCATAATTACTTTGCATACATCATCTGTATTAAAGATATCAGTAACCGACACCCTCTCCTCCTTTAACTACAGGCTTCTTCAGTTACTGCCTCAGCCTTCGCTGCTAACTAGATCTGCGACAACCCCCGACTTTACATCACATAAATTAACTACATTCTTGTAACCTGAAATTAATTCATTGATTCTATGCCCTGATCTGAAGCTGAAAGAATAAGCCATACTATTCTACAATATCAGTGTCATCCATGTCCATCCCCCTTTCAGCCAGCACTCATATTTTGGCTACTAAGTCAATCCAAAAATCACTCAGTAACAGTCGTTTTCTATATAGAGCAATCCGATGTGTGCTCAGAAAAGACATCATCACTGTATTTTGGACCTAAAAACTATCCAGCTTAGCATTTCCTGCTTTATAAACAAGAAATAGACCATGGTCTTTGCTCTCCTTCTCCCTAGCAACTTATATAAAGAATAGAATCATAAAATCATTTAGAGACCCTGAAGATCATTGAGTCCAACCGTTAACTTAACACTACCAAGTCTACCTCTCCTCATAAGGCTTGTTCTCTAGACCCTTCACCAGCTTCATTGTTCTTCTTTGGACACACTCCAGCACCTCAATGTCTTTCTTGTAGTGAGGGGTCCAAAACTGAACACAGTATACAAGGTGCAGTGCCAAATACAAAGGGACAATCACTTCCCTATTCCTGCTATCCATTGATATAGTGGGGAGCTGTAACATTTTTCTAACAGCTGTAGAGGTGTCTACTGGCAACGGCTCGCGGAGTTTTACCTGGGAGGAGAAGGACTCCAGCCCAGGAGGAGGAACAGGGACTGCCTGTGTTTGTTGTTGCTGTCGCTGGGTCAGCTGGCTCAGAACTGGGGATGGTTCAGGCTGGGATTTAAAGTCTGGTCAGTGTTGGGAAAAAGAAATATCAAAATTAAAGCATTAAACTCTGCTCTTCATGCTTCTACTCTTTATGAAAGAATTTGGGTGACCTGTCATGCTCGACAGCTATGATTTTATAGAATGTGCAAGTCTGTCTCAGACTTCACATGAGTTTCATGTTGAACATTACCACTGCAATAATGAGGCCAACATTTGATATTCTCTATTTTAAATAAACAGCTGCGGGCAAACATTATTTAGCTTTCCTCAAAAATATGAAAACAAACCTATCTATACAGTCACGTAATATTATCACACATTAGGCCTCAAAAACTGTTATGGATTATTTTAATCAAAGACTGCAAGTTTCACTGCAATTAACTGTGTCAATAAATTGTGATCACTTCCAAGGGGTCTGGAGGTATTATGAGTTAGGATTTCCTGCTCCTACAAAGGAGAGGATTTTCAACACAAATAGGAAGTCGTTTACCATCTCAATCTGGCTGAAAGTCAAGAGACACTGGACACTGACAGTTTTTTTCCCCCCCCAAGTCTTCCCCTTTCATATTTTTCAGACACTGAAAGCCAGGCAGCGGATCAGAGCACTGGTCAACAACCATAAGAGATCCACAGCATTTGCATTGTGAAGGTCTTTTTATTCACTAATTTTACTCAATTAAATGAAAAATCCATACAATTATGAATAGACAAAATAGGTAACCTGCATCATTCTCAGCACACGTAGCCTATCAAAACATAATGTCTATTACCAGCAGGTAAGTGTGACACTTACAATGTTGTAACCAATTATATTAGGATTACATTTTTTAGAAAAAGCTTTTCATTTAAGACAATTTTAAACTGTCATTGGCATTAAGAAATCTTACAGGCTAACAGAGAAGGAGAAAGAAAACTTACCAAACTGACTAAGGACTGAGGACTGAGTAATGGGCGGTTTCAGATCCCAGGATGATGTGGTAGTTATGGTAGTGGTGGTAGAGCTACTATTGTTTTGTTGAGAAGTAAACTGACCCAAACCTGGAGATTTCAATTGGTCCAAGATTTGGGATCCAGTAGAGTTTGCCAATTTAGAGGATCCAAGTTCTCCAAAGCCAGGACAAATAACTGCAGACTACCAAAAGACAAAAAAAAAAAAAAAAAAGAGGGGAAGGAGTAAAGTATTTAATAAGTAATTTGAACATAACCATAGGGTCAATGCCTACAGCTGCTATTTGGCAGCAACCAAAACCTCTTCAGTCCTAGATTACTAATAAATGACCAATAAAAAATTCAGCAGTTGTAGCATATGACCAACTTCCACCACCAATTGCAACGATACTGATTTACTTGAATCCACGCATCTCAAAATAGCATGTATTTACTAATAGTTGAACTGATTTTAAGAGAATAAATACAAGTGCCCAATTTCAAGCCCTCACAATTGACTCAGAAATAATCAGGTTTCCACAAAAAGCAGTCAGATATGTGCTTGGAAATAACACATTGTAGTTTTCTGGCATACAACTCTTCACTATAAAAAAAAATTATTTAATCCTAAATCAGCATGCAGTAAACACATCCGCTCTCTACTCAAAAATTAATACAAGTACTTCATGTAAACTGAGAAAGAACTACTTGGCAAAACCAGTAAAAATTAGTAATCCTTTTTTTGTATGTGTGAATGGAATTCTTAATTCCATTCCTTCAACATTTGCAACCTGAACTTTACAAATACTGAAACATCTCATGAAATGACCAGTACTGGTGTCCTGGTTCCGGCAGGGATGGGGTTAATCTCCCCAGGAGCCGGCAGGGGGCAGGTATTCCATACCACGTGACCCATGCCCGGGCTATAAGAGGAGCTAGCCGGGGCGAGGAGAGGAGTCGCCACTCGGGGGTGGGCTGCGGCGGCGCGGGTCTGGTCGGTGCGCTTCGCGGCGGTATTGTAATCCCGTCTTCATATCCCTTTATCGGTGTTACTGTTTTGTTTCCATCTTCCCTTTTGCTGTTCTGTTAAATTGCACTATTTTAACCCATGAGTTTTGCCCTTTCGATTTTTTTTCCCACAGCTGTGTGAATAGAGCAAGCGGCTGCATGGTTCTTTGTTGCTGGCTGAGGCCAAACCACAACATTGGAAAAGCTGTTTAACCTGAAATATTTACTCATGAAGAATATTTAGAAATCATAAGATAATTTTACCAGACTTTGAGGAGAATAAGAGTTTACAGCACTGGAGTTGCCAGTTCCTGATGCCATCTGGGTGCTGTGCTGAGAATTTGTGAAGACTAGGGCTTGGCCAAAGGTCTGCTGCTGGGGAGCCTCAAATGAGTCACCTTCTGTTTCTTGGGTAGAAGCCACAGGCTTTTGAAGCAGCATTACCAAATCAATGCTGTAAGAAAAAGCAAAGTTTGGCTGGAATAAACATGATTAAGTTGCATTGAAACTGAAGAAAGCACTAACAATACTAAAGCTGCTGTATCGGCAACAGAATTATTACTGATTAACAGTCTTTTCAAATATTGCTTGTCTGCCATACAAAAAGAGGTAGAATAGAGGTTTTTGCCATAAAGTAAAATTCTGCTAGCTGAAAGCTTCCACTACAGTTAGAATATAAGTTCTTTGCTCTCTTTTCAAACACCATCAAATTTATATCGTGTATCACATAAATAACCTATATGATTAATATAACCAAGTAACTGGAGACAAGTCATACATTATATTTGAGTTGATCCTGCCTGCAAGCCCATTATATATATATTGATAATCCACACTCTCTGTATATCACACTATCCCTTTAAAAAGAGCAAGGGATCAAAGTCCTACCTCTGTATAGGGTGGGTATGAGGACAGTAAAGAATGAAGTCACACATGCAACATTTGAGTGAATGTGATGTCATAGATGTCACAAGAGCAGCAGAAATTAGAAGTTAAGCTTCTCCGATAGTAGGCACATATCCAAAATTACTCTACCACACATACCTGAGCAAGATGAGAAATATGAATTTTCTTATATTTAGCATGGCTTACTAACCCCTACCATGTTTAGCACAGGTTTATCCAAGGAAAAGCAAAGCATTCAGACAATAAAAGAAATCTACTCCAAAAATTCTGACTTAAGTTTATCCTAAATATACTGCAGGCTTGGGCTGAAGAGCTGCTTCCAGCACTTTCATTAGCATAGATTTCTTAATGCCCAAACCTTTCTTATGGCAAGTAAAAACAAAAACCACACTGAAAAAACAAAACACCAGAATTTGAGTTAATATTTTCTAACATAATTTGAGGGACATCCACTGGAAGAATACTTGCATTAGAACAATGAACATGTGAGCATATCACCTTTAAGAAGGAAAGGAATGGAATATAAACTGTAGACCAACTGATACCATACCTCTTCCAGGTCACATCCATGTTATAAGGAAAATTTTGCTGCAGTCTGGAGTACAGCAGTACAGCTATATCAGGATGTTTGGGACCATTAGGCCATCTAGTTTTCAGATCTCATGCTATCCAACTACCAAAGTCTTCATCACACAACTTTAACCTGCTCTCCTGAGACCTGAGGCTAATGCAGGCAACTGATTCCACATCATCATCAGCCAGGCATTTGGTGAAGACAAAGGCAGGCAAAGGCAGGCAGCAACTGCCATATTTTTGGTTCTCTATCTGAACTCTGTATCATCAGTTAAGCCAAGTAATTGTGATGCTTACCAGGAAATTCACTTTCTTGCCAATGCAAGCTTTTCTGTTAACATATTTGTCAAAGCACTATGTTCTGAACACTTTCCGCATCTACAGGGGCAGGCTTTCCATTTTCTGGACAGCAAAGCCAGTGCTTTCTTTTCAACAGCAGCAAACTTTTTTTCCCAGCTACTTTTGTTCCTGCCTATAAGTGGTCTTTGTGCATGTCCTGGTTACAGCTGGGATAGAGCTAATTTTCTTACTGGCAGCTGGTATAGTGCTGTTTTGGATTTAGGATGAGAATAATGTTGATAAGATACTACTATTTTAGTTTTTTAGTTGTTGCTAAGCAGTCAAGAACTTTGCAGCTTCTCATACTGGCCTGCCAAAAAGAAGGCAGGGGGCACCCAAGAAGCTGAGAGGGGACACAGCCAGGACAGCTGACCCCAACTGACCAAAGGGATATTCCATACCATATGACATCATGCTCAGCATATAAAGCTGGGGAAATAAAGAGGAAGGGGGGACATTCAGAGTTATAGTGTTTGTCTTCCCAAGTAACTGTTACATGTGATGGAGCTCTGCTTTCCTGGAGATGGCTGAATATCTGCCTGCCAATGGGAAGGAGTGAATGAATTCCGTGTTTTGCTTTGGTGCTCACGCAGCTTTTGCTTTACTTATTAAACTGTTTTCATCATAGTGCAGAAGACAGGGTCTTCTCAGTATTATGCTCATGGATTTAGTAGGTTTGGCTCCATTTCCGTAGTCAATAATAGGTAACACAGGAACCCAGAAAACCAACAATTCGCAAGCAAGGCTTTCACAATTTTGAAATTTGCTTGACCAATCTCTGACCAGGGCTGCCCTGTGTTTTATTCAACATTTTATATGTGCATGCTAACACTGCTTCACCAAGCAGAAGGTTTTTAAGGTATAGGGAAACCGTGGAAGAAGAGCTTACCTTTGCCCAGGAGTCACATGGTTCTCAGCTGGAACAGAGGAAGCAGTGAAGACTTTTGTTTCAGAAAGCTGAAAAAGGAGGGGGGGAAGGCATTTTAATCATACACACGCTCGCACTTTAGTGCTGTGACATCTGCAGAAATTCCATCTTGGTCATGTACTTTCAGATACAAGTAAAGTCAAACTACCATTACAACCAGTTATGCTCTGCTTAAAAAGACAAAAACACATAGTCAAACTTCAGCAAAATATTCTCCACAGAATCAAGTACCAATTTAAAGTGTTAGGAAATTTGATCTACTGAACACACACAACGGTATACCAATGTAACTACATCAGTTTGGGCAGTAGTTTAACTGAAAAATATACCAGTATAAAGTAATTAATGTAACAGCTGGTATATCATCAGTGTAAAGATACCTTGTACAGATGTAATTTAGGACTCCACAGAGCGGCTCTGATAAATCTTGTTGCAGAAGTCTAACACGTTGCACCATTCCCACTCATTTCATGTATCCCTGTGTTTTACATTCAGCTCATCACCAGTGGAGGCAGGTTTGCACTCAGGTATGTACAGTGAACTAGCATTCATGGTCCCTTCTTGGCATTTCTGCTAGGGGTAGCAATAACACCTTAAACTGATTGCTCTGCGAGCATGAGTTCAAAAACAATAATAAAGGGAGAACCATGTAATTGCTTATACTAGTATAACCAGTCAGACCATCCACAGCAGAAAACTGTACTGCTTTCACCATGCTGTTACAATAAAGATAGATACTTGCACAGGTAGCTGGGAAGGGGGAGCAGGTTGGTTGGGGTTTTGGGAGGAAAGGGGGTGATTTTAGTTTGTAGGAGGGTTGGCTGTTTGCTGGGGTTTTTTTGGTGTTTCTTTTTTTAAAATAGCTTTTCTTTTTTAAAAAAATAGCAGTTAAATAGCTACAACTTCCTAGGGCTAATTCATTTCTATTGACAGGAATACTTGCAAACCAGAATAGGTCTTAAGCTAGTACAGGTTAGGTTTAATAAGATAGAGATATGCATGTATAATAGTTATATTTTAAATTAAATTTGCACAAAATCACCCTTAACTACTTTGGTGTAGCTTTGTATTTAGACTAAAGAAAAACTGACCTATTCAAACATTCATAAAGAATCCCTTTAGAATGCGACATTTGAATATAGCTCTTCCAGGAAATTATGCTTTTTTAATTGCATACATTGCTAGCAGCCCAGTTTAAAGGGCATCACGGACATGAACCAATTTCATCTGCCACAGTCATCCGATTGGGATTCTCCTATGAAACACTGTTGATTTAAGCAGGATGCAGAAGGGCTGACTGGGAGCAAATCACTTACTACTCAGAGGCAAAGTTCAAATGTTTCATGTACTCTCCTAGCACCCACTTATGTGCAACACACCGTGTCATGAAAAAATTAGTATCACCACAGTTCCTCCCTCCATTTCCTTCCCTTCCTGCCAAGACAACGTATTTTAATCCCATCTTTCTGAAACACAACTCTGTCCTGTGCATAATGCTGCCAGCCTGCAACTCTACGTACTGACCAAAACAAAGAAAGAAGATTCAGCTCAAGCATATTTGCAATTAAAAAGGCTGATTCTCTATTGTTCAGCCCTTTCCTCACTATATGTGTTATGTTAGAACCATGTATATTGTACTTTTTGTAGTGTTATAAGACTCGTGCATTATACGGCAAGAGCAGCAGCCTATGGTCTGCAATCCCCTGGTTAAATATTAAATTCTTTGTAATATCAATAGTTTCTTATGCTCACATAACTCAGGATAAGACTAACCATGGCCAAAACAATGATGAATCCTGAAAACTAAGCAAATTGAGGAGCCTGAGATGTTTCTGACAATGCAAAAGCATACCTGACATATGAGAGAGGAAATGTTCTCTTCAAGTGAGCCAGCATGCAAAGCGCAAGTCTCCAGCTACTACTTCAGCTATATTGAAGTTTACGCTACATCCTGTGGCAAACTCACTGTCACAAGCTTCAGTCAAGTACCTAATTCAGAAGTCTGCTGGGATTACGGCATTTGTCAAAACACATACTTTGTGCAGCAACAGCTGAAAAATTTTTATTACACAGGTGTATTTAGTATTTCTTAGAAGTAGTATTATTGGCTCCTAACAAAGTTATTTATGCTCACTGTACACTACACTTGCAAATCTTTCACTGAGGCTCTGGCATTTTCCAGCCACAGGTTCATATTATGCTTTTTTCTGCTAGACTAAAACCAGAGCCCATTATATGCTAATAAAGTAACGTTTTCTGATTCAGTAAACTAAAAATCTCACTGTCAAGCACCAATTCTACCAGTAAATAATTTTCAGCTATTTTCCACAAGTTTTGTTTTGTAAAAGCAATGAATAATTGGATGCAATACTTCAGAATCAAGTTCAGGAGAGTCCACATACAGAATCCCAAAAATTTTTCAGTTGCTGCTTTCCAGAAAACAGCCCCTTGTTCTGGAGAAGTACCTCTGTTCCTATAAAACAAATGGGCACTTGGCTACATTAAAGCATTTGTCATTTGAACAGGTTAAGGTTAGCAAAGGTCCAGATTTCTCTGCATGACTGACTTTTAATTGCCATTCCAATAATTTTTGGATTTCCCATGCATTTTATTCAGCAGTGATTTTATTTTTAATTCCAAATCATCAATAAAGACACTATATGGCATCTGGCCTGGGACTGGATTCCTTTATAGCCCTCCTAGAAATGCCCACATTCAGTAAGAGTCCTCCTGCAAAAGATTTATTGGCCAAAATTTTCAAGGCAGATTTTAATCCACATAATGTGTTTTGTGACAGCATGTAATTATTTTTAGAACAAAATATGTAGATCAAACCTCTTACAAGGAGATTCTCTATCTTCACAGTTAACATTTAATTTACTTATAGGCCAAGATCAGGTTTATTTGAAGTTGACCTATTTTCCATAAAACTGCACTGAATGGCACAAGCTGTATTCTTACACTTCTATTTATATTTTTTTTTAAATCAGATAAATCAATTTTTCCTTTATTTTTTCCCCCAGGGATGTTTTGGGCTAATTTGCCTGCAGCTTGCCATTTCATTCACTCTTTCTGAACATTAGCACATGAACAGCTTTATCCTAGATCACAGGGATTTTTCCAGCACTCTGAATTTTATAAAAACTAACAACAAGCTAGAGATTTCATCTGCTGCTCTTTCAAGATTCATGTGCAAATTATTCAGGTTTAATAATTAATTTTAAAAAATTTCTATCCCTAGTCAGCATTGCTCAACACCCCTCCCATACTACAAATGCTGTAGTACCAGCATCAAAAAGGGGTGAGAACAAGGCCATAATTTTTCACTATCCTTAGCCCTAAGTCCACCTCTAGCATATAGTGCAGAAATAGAGAACAGGTTTAAAAAAAATGCCAGCTTTTGATGGCAGTGACACAGAAAACCGAGGAATTTTAGAGTTTCTTCTAATTTTCTCAAAAGACACAGCCCTCTCATTAGGTAAGGACAGAGTTTTCACAGAATGGTTTGGGATGGAAGGGACCTCTGGAGATCATCTAGTCTAACCCCCCTGACAGAGCAGGGTCACCTACAACAGGTTGCACAGGAGGGCGTCCAGGTGGGTTTTGAATGTCTCCAGAGTGGGAGACTCCACAACCTCTCTGGGCAGCCTGTTCCAGTGCTCTGCCACCCTCAAAGTAAAGAAGTTCCTCCTCATGTTTAGATGGAACTTCCTATGTCCAAGGTTGTGCCCGTTACCTCGTCCTGTCACTGGGCACCACTGAAAAAAGACTGTTCCCAACCCCCTGGCACCCTCCCTTTAAGTATTTATAAGCATTGATAAGATCCCCCCTCAATCTTCTCTTCTCCAGACCAAAAAGACCCAAGTCCCTCAAGCCTTTCCTCATAAGAAAGATGCTCCAGTTCCCTAATCATCTTTGTGGCCCTTTGCTGGACCCTCCAGGGCACATTGTTGGCTCATGGTCATCCTGTTGTCCACCAGGACTCCCAGGTCCCTTTCCCCAGAGCTGCTCTCCAGGAGGTCAGCCCCCAACCTGTACTGGTGCATGGGGTTATTCCTCCCCAGATGCAGCACCCTACACTTGCCCTTGTTGAATTTCATTAGGTTTCTCTCTGCCCAACTCTCCAGCCTGTCCAGGTCATGCTGTAAGGCGGCACAGCCTTCTGGCATGTCAGCCACTCCTCCCAGTTGTGTGTCATCAGCAAACTTGCTGATGGTACACTGTATCCCTTCATCCAGGTCATTGATGAATATATTGAACAGGACTGGACCCAGTACTGACCCCTGGGGAACACCACTTGTTACTGACCTCCAACTAGACTCTGCACCACTAACCACAACCCTCTGAGCTCTATCTGTCAGGCACTGTTCAATCCACCCCACTGTCCATTCATCTAACCCACACTTCCATATCTGTTATATGACACATTCACACATTTCTAGGGATAACACTGACATGCCACCCTACAGGAGGCGGCAAAAGGGATGACTTCTGAGACAATAATTTACTCTTCTGAAAATAAACTTGAAATAATGGATGTTTCTATAAAAGATGAAAAACTTCTTAAAAGCTAAGTTTTCCTTTCCATATTTCTTGCTACATAGTTTGTTTTCTGAAGTATTTAAGCTTTAATACAATAACTGAAAACTTAAAATCACAAATGCGATTTTCACACGTGATGATCACAAATGCCAAATTTTTTGCAGACATGAAGACATCTCTTGCCTGATAAAGGATGAGAACCAAAATTATTGTAGTACTTTAGACAACACATCATGATGAAACAACAGGAATGAAACAATTAAGTGATAACTTTAGCATATTACAAGCTCCTTTTTTTTTTTAATATTATGAACATGAAGTGGACTAAGGGAAACAATTATGCACGTTTCAAACAAAAAGCATCAAATGATGAGTCTAAATTTGATAATAAGGTTTAGCACTTAATTACATAAAAGTTTTGTGATAACATGGCTTTAAATCCCTACACAGTAGTATGTGGAAGTATATGGTTAACACCCATCAGCATTGAGCAGTGGAAAACTATAATTGACAAATACTTAATTTGGGATAAAACTTAAAATTTTGTTATCTATATATTGTTCACTCAAAGTAAATTAATATTTTTGATTCAGCTTTATTTAAAAAATAAATGTATCTAAGTACATATATTTTAAACAGGAATTAACAGCAAGAAACACAGTAAGAAATATCATTGCATGCATACAGCAAAGTATTACTTTGAACATTTAGTTTTTGAAGACAACACAAACTCTGAAAAGGGTAAATAATCAATTGGTCTATCCAACAATGTACACTTACATCTTCATTCCAGTCTTCTGATGTCCATTCTTCTTGTGAGTTTTTCCACACTCCTATTGTAATTTGGGAAAGAAAACAGTTACAAGGTAAAAAAAAAAAAAAGCACAATATTGTATTTCAACCCTTCTGCTTTATAAGCAATCCTGTTTTCATGACCAGTGGAAAACAAAGAGACAAGATGGTGGTTGGAAACATAGGAAGCTCCAGAAAATTGGTCAGCAGATTTAAAATTTTGGGAGGGTTTTTTCCTCCCCTTAAATTTCTGATTTCAGGAACTTCTTACCCACTATGGTACCAGACGAACGCCTGCCTGCAACCAGTGATTAATCCCAAACATTGGAAGAACTTCCTCCTATGTCCCCAATGACAGTAAGAGGTTACTCAACCCTCCCATGGGATCTGCCAGTTCCATGCAAAAATTCATACAGAGCCTGAACAAAACACAACCACAACACTTGCTCCGACATCCATAATCCTACTTTCAACATCCTCAAATTCAATACCTAAGATATGCCTCTGGAGGCTTCTTTCCAACCTGTTAACTCTCTCCTCAGTGCAGAACAACCCCAATCTCTTCCCCTAATAGAACAATTTTATTTTAAAACATATATAATTCATATAATGGCAGCAGAAGAGTCAATAAGCTTCCACTATAGCTGCAAAACACTTCCTGTAACTTGTGGCAGAGTTTATTTGGTGAACACTGAAGCACATCGTGCAGTCCACAGAACGCAGCAATGGAAAAACTACAGGAAACGATCCTATGGATGCAAAAACCTGATCCCTTCCATAGGAAACAGCAGGTACAGACATGCAAGAGCAATGGACTGAAGGCCTTGCCCACCAGCGTAAGCACAGGGAAGGTTATCTCAGCAAAAACCAGAGCTTTCATTTAAACTACGTAACCACGAGCAAACAAAATACCAGCTGTAAAGTTCTTGCTACCATCACCTTTGATTAAGTACAACAGCAAAAAGAACTACTGCTTTAATAATCTCCTTTTACTTAACCAGAAACCCTCCGAGACACATACATCCGGAAACAAGCCCCCTGAAGACAGCATCAAATCCAGTTCGTACTAATGCCATCATTACATTATAGTGCATTCTTTTGTACACCTTTACAAAGCAGTGTCTTGGGCAGAGGAGGGTCGAATGGCACTAATCCAGTGAGGTGAACAGGCCTACCACAAAGATAAACCCACAGTGGGGAGGAGATAGGAGGTTTATACCTTGGAATCAAAAATTATTTGGCAGGTCCCAAGCAGGGTAACATCTGCTCTGTGTTAGCTCTGTGGAGCGATACAGAGTTGCCTGAAACATCTCGTGCTCACATTTTTACCAAACAGCCCCTAACCAGGAGGTTTCTACATACTGCAAAATATCAGGCACTTGAAAAATAACTAATAATCATATCCCAGCACAGCAAAACTACTACAAAGCCTTAAATTTCTAGACTAACCCACACATTTCCACAGAAATTTTGGAAAGGAGGAAAAGCCCAATGAGCAGTAGTTTTTAGAGAAACAGTTGATTTTCCTTCCCTTCTCTTGACCACCACAGGATCCCTTCCTCTGATAGTTCTTCTTTAAAGAAATACATTCTGGTATTTGCCCTGCTTATATTTGTCTCCCATCAATCAGAGCAAGGCCTGCCTCTGTAGAAGACAAACCTCATGTTGGCGTTAGAACTCTAATGACAGAGCTTGGAGTCTGCCAAAGCAAACACAAGAAGAGCTCAGACAAATCAAGCCCAACTCCTGAGTATCCCCCCCATCACTTTTGTGAGACTGAACCTATTCAGAATACTACTTGGGACATTTTCCTGCCATTCAATTTCAATGCTTACCTGTTGCTTCTACTTACAACCACAGTTCTGTGAGTTTATTCTTTTTAAATACAGAACGCAGCTCTTCACCCTTTTATTAGTTTACCCAAGATAAATTTATTATTGTTGCTTATTAAGACTCTACCTTCCCAACTCAATCCTTCCAGCCTTAGTTATTTCACTGCTCTTCTCTACATTAAATCCAGTTTGCTAACGCCTTCCTCCTATTAATGGGATTCTAAGTCTGATCTTGCCACAAGTATATCAATTTCCTTTCAGTCCGAAATCCACCTTCGCATTATTGCAACTCCATATATCCTCTTCCCAACCTTTACCCCCAAGCCTTGCACAGCATCACAATTTAAGAGTTCTGTTTTCCACTAAAATTATGCTTTGTGTTTTCAAGGATCTTTGTCATAGCAACTTCAACCTAGATGGCTATCTTTGACTCTCCTGTTTCCCTTTGTAACAAGTTTAGCTTTAGGAAGTTATAAAGCCAATAAAAAGTATGCTATACATAATTATTTTTTTTAAGTCTTCAGCTATTTTCCTCCAATTCCTCACTTCCTGTCATACTATTTGATTATTTTTTTCTTTTTTGAATAATCAGCTATAGATATTAGCCCCGAAATAATTTTATTTTGTTCTATCCCAAACTTACATACTAATCCTTTTCTTCTAGATTACATTCACGTTCTAGAATGACCTGAAAATTTCCTTAAAATGTTCCTTCTGACTTTTACAGCAGTCCTAAAAATAAAACAATTTCCTTGTAACTTCCAAGCAACACAATTCCCTTCTCCCTTGATAATTGCATGATAATTTATATTTTCTTTCTTGTCGTTCTTCAGTTTCAGAGTCTTTTAATGCTGCTCATAACCAAGATAATAAAGAATGAAGTTTTTCTGCGAAATTTATGAAACTATAAAAGTAGAGCTATAAAGAAATTACCAGAATACAATACAATTTTTATAACCTACTTTGAGAAGTAACCACCTCCAATATAATTTACTTATAAGAACTGCTGTGATTTAATGTTCAGGATCTTAAGGACTTTAAACTAGATTTGCATGGGAAAGGGGATGAAAACTCTTTAGAAGTAAGGATGGGGGTGGTGTGTCAATGTCTGTGGGACGGGATGCTAGTGAGATTCCTCGGTCTGCTGATTCAGTGAAGGTAGGGGATGGGGATTACAGCAGCAGCAGAGATGGGTCATTGATGGCTTAGAAATTCTGGCTGTGCCTGGGAATGGTCAGGCAGGAATTAGGGCTTCTCCCAGCAAAAAGGTGGTGGGACCAATAGCCCAACTGAAATGTTTCTATACTAACGCACACAGCACGGGCAACAAACAGGAGGAGCTGGAAGCCATTGCACAGCAGGAAAACTACGATGTAGTCACCATCGCAGAAACACGGTGGGATGACTCGCATGACTACAGTGCTGCAGTGGATGGCTATAAACTCTTCAGAAGGGATAGGCAAGGAAGGAGAGGCGGTGGGGAGGCTCTGTATGTTAGGGAGTGTTATGGATGTCTAGAACTAAATGATGGTGACAGTAAGGTTGAGTGTTTATGGGTATGAATTGGGGGGAACAACAAAGGCAGTTATCATGGTGGGAGTCTGTTACAGACAGCTCAACCAGGATGAAGAGGCAGATGAAATATTCTATAAACAGCTGGGAGAAGTCTCAAGATTGCTAGTCCTTGTCCTCGTGGGGGATTTCAACTTACCAGATATCTGCTGGGAATACAATACAGCTGAGAGGGAACAGTCTAGGAGGTTCCTCGAGTGTGTTGAGGATAACACAGAGCTGGTGAGGGAGCCGACTTGGAAAGTTGCCCAGCTGGAGCTGTTGTTTGTAAACAGGGAAGGACTTGTGGGGGATGTGACTGTTGGAGGCCCATAGTGATCATGAAATGATAAAGAGTTTTTGATTCTTGGAGAAGCAAGGAGGGGGGGTCAGCAGAACTGCCACCTTGGACTTCCAGAGGGTGGACTTCGGTCTTTTCAGGAGCCTGGTTGACAGAGTTCCTTGGGAGGCAGTCCTGAAGGCTGGACATTTTTCAAGAAGGAAGTCTTAAAGGCACAGGAGCAGGCTGTCCCCATGTGCCAAAAAACGAGCTGTCAGGGCAAAAGACCAGCCTGGCTGAACAGAGAGCTATGGTTGCAACTCGAAATAGGTCCTGTGGAAGAAGGGGCAGGCCACTCATGAGGACTACAAAGATGTTGTGAGGCTCTGTAGGGAGAAAATCGGAAGGGCCAAAGCCCAACTAGAACTTAACCTGGCTACTGCTGTTAAGGACAACAAAAAAAGTTTCTATGAATACATCAACAATAAAAGGAGGACTAAGGATAATCTCCATCCTTTAGTAGACAGGGGCGGAAACATAGTGACCAAGGATGAGGAAAAGGCTGAAGTAATTAATGCCTTCTTTGCCTCAATCTTTAATAGGAGGACCAGTTTTTCCCTGAGTACCCAGCCCCCTGTGCTAGTAGACAGGGGCGGGGAGCAGAATGAAGCCCCCATAATCCAAGGGGAAATGGTGAGGGACCTGCCAGAGCACTTAGACACACAGAAGTCTATGGGGCCAGATGGGATCCACCCGAGGGTACTGAGGGAGCTGGCGGATGTGCTCGCCAAGCCGCTTTCCACCATTTATCAGCAGTCCTGGCTAAATGGGGAGGTCCCAGTTGACTGGAGGTTAGTGAACATGACACCCATCCACAAGAAGGGCCAGAAGGAGGATCCGGGGGACTACAGGCCTGTCAGTCTGACTTTGGTGCCTGAGAAGGTTATGGAGCAGGTCATCCTGAGTGCCATTATGTGGCACATGCAGGACAACCAGGTGATCAGGCCCAGTCAGCACGGCTTCATGAAAGGCAGGTCCTGCTTGACCAACCTGATCTCCTTCTATGACAAGGTGATCCACTTAGTGGATGTGGGAAAGGCTGCGGATGTTGTTTACCTGGACTTTAGTAAAGCCTTCGACACTGTTTCCCCCAGCATTCTCCTGGAGAAACTGGCTGCTCATGGCTTGGATGGGTGTACTCTTTGCTGGGTAAAAAACTGGTTGAAAGGCCAGCCCCAAAGAGTTGTGGTGAATGGAGTTAAATCCAGATGGTGGCTGGTCACAAGTGGTGTTCCCCCAGGGCTTGGTATTGAGGCCAGTTCTGTTTAATTTC